GCCTTTGCCCTAGGTGGGTTCAGTCTTGGACACCCCGCCTTTTCTAATCTTTGGAACTAATATGGCCTCATGTGTTTCCAATAAAATTAATTAGAACTCTATTACAATTTTGTTTTTCATTACCAATTAATAACAGTAACATTGATAACTCGTGTCTGCTGTTAAACATATTGGTCATATAGCAATATGTATATAAAGCAGCAAATAATGTAAATATAAATACAAATATAAATACAATTTAATATGTAAATATTATAACACATCTCACAGCTTTGAATGTGACCCATTTCCTCGCTTTTTGTGGAAACAGGAAGTATAGATCAGTATCGTCAAACTCATTTGATGGGTCAGACCAGTAACACTCCCTTTTCTGTCAGTGTAAGGAAGTTACATACTTAATAATTTGAAATCTGTCAGCATGACTCTACCAGAAAAAGCTCTCGCAGCTCATTGCCCAGACTGTCCCGTTTTTTTGTTGTTGTTTTCTTCCTTTTTTTCACATTCAGGCCTGAGAGATTCAGTTACAATAGAATAGAATAGCATAGAAAACCTTTATTATCCTACTAATGAGAAATTTGGGTGTTACACAGCTCTTATAGCAAGAGGAATATGAAATATAGAAGGTAGACACAAAGTGGTCCTATATATATAAACAACCATTCATGCCAGCAACAGCTGCTGGTAAGAATGACCTGCGGTAGCACTCCTTCCTACGCTGTAGGCAGTGTAGGGACTAACGCGTTATTAAGGAACGCGTTACAGTAACTACATTATTATTGTGGTAACGAGCACGGTAACTAGTTATTATGCCAAAATCAGCAACACGTTTACGCTACAATATTAAAATAAAAGTCTATTCAGCATGAAGAGTGGGTATATAAGATTATTTGTTTGTTGTCACTGGGTGGTGCTGAGGTCATATTCTGGGGTCAGCTTGTGTAAAGGAAGAAATACATGAAAAGTTTAATTCTCAAAGCTGAAATAAAATCCAATCCTTCCCCCCTGACCGGTGCTTCAGGTTCTGAAGTTCTGCTTTTACATTTTTTCAGTCAATAGTTCTGCTGGTGCCTGACATGCAATATAAAAAGACAAAGCTGTCCAGACTAACAGGTTATCCAGCGTAATATTTCACCTTTGATATTCAAATCAAAATTATAAAGAAGGAGACTCCTTAAATCCAAATCATTGTAATAAAAAGTGGCAGGAAACATCTTTGGGGTGGCTGTAGCTCAGGAGGTAGAGCAGGTCAGCTGCTGGTTGGTTGGCGGTTCTATCCCTGGCATGCCAAATATCCTTGGGCAAGATACTAACCCCAACTTGCTCTCCGATGCATCCATTGGAGTATGAATGCGGATGAATGATAGTTAGAAAGCACTCACCATAAAACAGTGCTTGTGTGAATGGGTGTGTATGGGGTGAATGTGGCGTGTTGTATAGAGCACTTTGAGGACTCCGGGAGAGTAAAAAGGCGCTATACAAGAACCAGTCCAAACTAGTTCATGCATTTATTACTTCCAGGCTGGACTACTGTTTTTCATTATTATCAGGAAGTCCTAAAAACTCCCTGAAAAGCCTTCAGCTAATCCAAAATGCTGCAGTAAGAGTACTGACAGGGACTAGAGAGCAGATTTTTCCTGTTTTGGCTTCCCTTCATTGGCTTCCTGTTAAATCCAGAATTGAATTCAAAATCCTGCTCCTCACATACAAGGTCTTAAATAATCAGGCCCCATCTTATCTTAATGACCTTGTAGTACCATATCACCCTATTAGAGCACTTCGCTCTCACACTGCAGGCCTACTTGTTGTTCCTAGAGTATTTAAAAGTAGAATGGGAGGCAGTTTCCTTCGTCTTCAGGCCCCTCTTCTCTGGAACCAGCTTCCGGTTTGGATTCAGGAGACAGACACTATCTCTAGTTTCAAGATTAGGCTTCAAACTTTCCTTTTTGCTAAAGCATATAGTTAGGGCTGGACCAGGTGACCCTGAATCCTCCCTTAGTCATGCTGCAATAGACGTAGGCTGCCGGGGGATTCCCATGATGCATTGAGTTTTTCCTTTCCAGTCACCTTTCTCACTCACTATGTGTTAATAGACCTCTCTGCATTGAATCATATCTGTTATTAACCTCTGTCTCTCTTTATCCTGTCTTCCTTCTCTCACCCCAACCAGTCCCAGCAGATGGCCTCGCCCCTCCCTGAGCCTGGTTCTGCCGAAGGTTTCTTCCTGTTAAAAGGGAGTTTTTCCTTCCCACTGTTGCCAAAGTGCTTGCTCATAGGGGGTCATATGATTGTTGCGTTTTTCTCTGTATCTATTATTATAGGACATACTGAACAATATAAAGCGCCTTGAGGCGACTTTTGTTGTGATTTGGCACTGTATAAATAGAATTGAATTGAATTGAAATGAATTTACCATATTTGGGAAAACTTTATCAAGGGTTAATCTAACAAAGGTTAGTTTGTCAATTTTCTACTACTTTACCCATATTTTGATTTGACTAGTGTATATTTTGGTAATAATTTTTTATTTGAATTATTATGGACAGGCGAAATGTAACCCGCTCCTGAGTAAGTACACCTCACTCTAGGTTCAGTAGTCAAGTATGAGTGCATGTGATGATAACACACGTTTTGAGTTAACTCTAAACAATCTTAATGCAACAACAGATAACAATTACAAGACAGAAATTACAACTGAGGCCTTCACTAAAAAGAAGAGGAACAAGAGAAAACTGTTCTTAATCTCTTGAAATGATGTTTAAAGGGTATTTGGTTAGTTGCAACTCCACCTTTCACTGGTCCTGCCCACCCACTTAAGATCAATGTAAAACGAGTTTGACACCACTGCTCTCTAGCGTTTATACTCGGGAGTTAAAGTGGGCTGGAAGGAGTTCAGGTGTCCGCAAGTTTTGGTTGTGGTACTTAAGAATCTAGCTGGAGATACAGAAGAAGATTCTGTTACACAGTGTGTTGCTAGATAAAGGTAAAGCTGCTGTATTTCATGGAGAGAGAAAAGAGTGTGAGTTTAATTCATTCAGAGATCCAGAAAGTTGTAGAAAGACAGACAGGACAGGAGAGGGAGAAGACAGTTCAGATTTAAAGATAAGCACTGCTCAGTGACGCTTGATAAACTGCAGGTTGCTGTCAATTGTAAAGACAGTATAAACAGTATAGTGTCAGTGTATAGGGGATGGACATCAACCATGATAGCTTGTGAAACTGCTGACATCCTGCACAAAGAAAAGCTGCTGGCAGATTCTTTGGCCAGGAAAATGCTGTGTAATTATATGACAGATTTTTGGAAAGAGGTGAAAGCTCTCAATAACTGTAAACCATCTCTACCATCAACTGTTGAAGGTGTTTCTGGGGCAGATAACATTGCAGCATTATGGAGACAGCATTACAGTGCGTTGTTTAACTGTATAAAAAGTGAACCATATGAGGACAATTTTGACATGAGTAATGACACAATAAGTGTAAGGACACATGAAGTATATGAAGCCATTCATAGGTTATCTGATAATAAAGCTTCTGGTTTGGATCACATCACTGCAGAACATTTAAAACATGCTAGTTTAAGGCTAGCTCCTCTTCTAGCGACTCTGTTTCACTGGGTTTATGATTCATGGCATATTACCAGACTCAATGCTGTGTATTTTACTGGTACCAGTTATGAAGGACAAAGCTGCAAAAGTGAGCTGTTTGGATAATTACAGGCCGATTGCACTAGCCAGTATTTTATCTAAGGTGTTAGAAAGAATCTTGTTTGACAGAGTTAGTGTGTTCATCTCTTCTCTGGATAATCAGTTTGGCTTCAAACCAAAGCACGGCACTGACATGTGCATATATGCACTCAAGGAAATAGTCAGTTTGTATAGGGCTAAAAATTCATCTGTCCTCATGTGTTTCATTGATGCCTCTAAGGCTTTTGATCGAGTGAACCACAGAAAACTTTTTGATAAAATGAAGAGACGGGGAGTTCCTCAAGTACATCGTGAGGATTCTCTCTTACTGGTACGCTCATCAGAACATGCAGGTTAAATGGGGAAGCAGTATTTCTGCCCCCTTTGGTGTCAGCAATGGTGTTAGACAGGGTGGGATTTTGTCTCCAATTTTATTTAATTATATGTTGATGATTTGTCCATACAGCTGAGAGCCTGTAACACTGGGTGTATATTAGGTAAAACATTGATAAATCATCTTATGTATGCAGATGACCTGGTTGTTTTTAGTCCAAGCAGTGCTGGGTTACAGGATCTTCTCTAATGTCTGTACTGAATATGGTGTGCAATATGACATAGAAGTACAATGCTGTTAAAAGTGCTGTTTTGATATGTAGAACTATGTAGTACAGGAGGACATGCAGACGGTTGGTGTGAGAAAGGAGAATGCAGTGTGCCAAACCCTAAAGCAAGCAGCCAAATAATAATAATAATAATAATAATAATAATAATAATAATAATAATAATAATAATTGTTGGTGATGTTTCTCCATCAGTGCTGTTAAGCATTTTTCTGAAGAAAATTATCTGTGTCCTCGTAGACTTTAGACAGTTGTTAGAACCCACAGATTTCACAAAAATGTGTCTCTTAAATTCAAAAATCTTATGTTTTAGTGCTTCTTAATAACACCTTAATCTCATCAGGCAGTATTTGCTTTGACGGAGGGTGAACTTCTTCCATAACCTAAGCCTATTATTGTTTGTAAAGCACAGATACTGTTTTAAATTAATTCTCTGCACTTCACAGCATGAAGTGGTGGCTTCTCTTTGGCTGGTGTTTTTCCTGTCACACCAACCTTCTGCATGTCATAGTTCACCACTAGTCTGTAGAAAGGAACGAGGTCCACCAGATCGGGATTCCTGCAAGCAAGAGTGCAAGGGTAAGACGCTTTACTATTAATATTTAAGGCTCCATGTTTCCATGCCTGCAGGTTATAAGTTAACCCCTCCCCCCCCCCCCACCTGTTGTACATTTCTCTTGATGTTAATTTACAGAATGTCCTCAGCCGACAAACTTCTGTAACGGAGCTGTACCAGAACATGGTGGAGGTAACAGTTGTGGCAGTGAACAGAAAAGGGGTAAGGCATTTTAATCACACACACACTCAAATCTTTGTGATTGGATAAAACAGTAATTAAGAAGCTACCAAAGTTCTCAAGTGAAACTCAGTGTTGTAAAAATGTGTATATGATTAATTAATTAATTAATTTATTTTTACAGGGCGTGGCACATGCTGTATGGATGTTTTAGACAAGATTTTTAAAAACGGAGGCTGTGATGACGCTGTCAAGTAAACACTTTCCTTCTAAATAACTTTTTTTGAGTTTTCTATTTTGAAAAACTGTTAAATATGTATATAGGAGCAAAATCAAAAGGGTTGAGATGTTAATGTGTTTCAGATGGTTTATGGCAGGGGTGTCAAACTCAATCAGACAAGGGGCCAAAACCCAAAGCACACTTTAGTTCGCAGGCAAACAGGATTTACTGAACAGATTAAAACTGAAAGTTTTTTTTAACATAAATATGAACAAAAACAGGACAGGATACAATATTCTTTCTTAGAAAATAACTGAAATAACTAAAAGATACATCCTGTCAAATGTATAAAAATTTAAAATATGAAGGTGCTCCAAAAATGAAAATAAAAACAGGCCACTAGTGTCCCATTATACTACCACTGTATCAGCTCCATTTGAACCTGTAAAAATGCAGTTCCGTCGTCGGCAGCAAATGGTTTGTGATGCAGCTTGAAATTTATTTTCTTTTCCTGGTTTACTTTCCAAAGCACAGTGTGCACTCATAAGTGCAGCTTTACTTGAAACTCCTTCACTGCATCAGCACATCAGTGATCATGCAAGTCTGCAATTAGCAGATTTCCTCATTCTGCTCACAAACTCTTTTCTCTGACTTAGTTTCTGCACCTTTGTAAAATACACCATGTTGCCAAACTCTAAATCTATTTTCCGGGATTTGACCTGCTGGCCTTGACTTTGACACCTTTGGTCTGTGGTGTGTAATTAATGTAAGATTTTTAATCAGAATGTGGCATTCTGATTTTTTTTCTTATCCTTTTCAACAAGGGCCATTGAGGACCTGCAAGAGATTCTAGAGGAAGAAGAAATAAATGGGACCAGTTCATCAATTATTTCCGAGACTGTTGTTGCCCTACAGTATAAACCCAATGGTACCTTTAGAGGCCTCGACATTTATGCCAGCGATAATCAGGTGTTTAAAAAATTATTTCATAGTGTAATGTGACAATGATATTTTAAGCTGTTCACAGTTTTTAGCAGCAAAACTGACAATATCTGTTTTGTTTAAAGTTTTGGTCTTGAAAACTGCTGGGAATGGTTGAGATTGTTTATATCCTATTGATGTCCAAATGTGCATGTATTTTTAGTTACTTTTGTCCTTATTTTCCCTAAGCCACAAAACAGCTTGTTTGATATTGCTTTAGCTATGAAATATCTGAACATGTTCTTTATACTGTAGATTAAACTTTCGTGCTGCTTTGCATTTCGGAGTCTGTGAACCTTAATGACTTTCCTCAAGTTCCAGCAATTTGAGATCATTTGGACTAAAATGGCTGAAGAGCAGTTTTGGATTTCCATTAAATTTATAATGCATGTTTAGATATATGCTAAGTTGAGAATAATGTTACTCTTATTCACATCATCTTCCTGTTTTCGGCACGTTGATGCATATGCAGGTACAACCAGGCCAGTCTCCGCCCAGCAGCAGAGTGAGAGTTCAGCTGCCGAGTGAACTGCAAGCTGGACCAAACAACAAGATTGTGTTCTGCATGATTAAGTGGCCTGAAACATACCAGGTCAGAAATTAAAATCTGTTATACAAAATCTTGAATTTTATACAGACATAGATTTTACACTGTAAATTAAACTACAATCGTTTGTTGATTTAGCTTGTTTTAGCCAAGTAACATTACTAAAAAAATCTTTTTACATAAGCAAACATTTGGTCCATATTTATTTTATCTTCCAGTCATTTAACATTATTTATTATTAAGAAACTTTTGTCTCACTATCTTGATAACAGACCTTCATCTGAGCACTCAAACATGCCACCATTCAGCTCAAGTCACATTATTTAAAAACAAACAAACAAAAATATAAGCATATATACATAATTGACCCTTGACTTTAGAGAAGTAAAGCAGGAGACAAATAATCGATTTTTTACTTAGTGCAGACCTTTAGGAAACTAGAATAGCTAAAGTAACATCCACATAAAGGCCCCAAGGTCTCATAGTTTTCTGTAGTAAAACACTGCATTGTAATAAAATCAATTCTACACACATTACATGTCAATTGTTTAAATTTAGCTGCTTATACACCAAAAGTGCTTCAGCCTCAGCTTCATTTGGAAATATATAATAATTATCGGATAGAGTTGCTGGCAGAACAGTAAAGTGATTGCTTTTATGTTCATGTCAGGAAGACAGATGTGTAGATTTTATAAAGATTTATTTGGAACCTGCCGTGCCTCTGCACATCAAACTAGTGACAAAAATATAGCAATTTATTTTGAGTTAACTCGCACAGATATCTTCATGTGGAGAAACAGTTTTAAAACTGCAATGATTATTTACCCTGCTGTGTATTCAAAATACCTTTATGCCATATAATAGCATTTCTCCCAAGCTACAAATATTAATTCATATATGCAGTACATGAAAGCTCCAACACATGTAACAATGTACAAATAACTTTGTGTCCAGTACATTATTGCCTCCATGATTTAATAAATGGATTGGATGTGTCTCATGAAGGAGTAATAAGTTTGGACTTAACATTGTCCTTTATGGTTTAATGTCTTCATATTTTAAACATAAAAGAATGTTTTGCCACAGGAACAATAAGTGACATATTGTTAGTCATTTATTTATTTACATTAAATTAGTTTAATTTAATACATTAAAAGACAGCTATGGGAACTGCTCTAATCAGTAAGAGTTAATCAATTTGTTCAACTTTCAAACAGGAAGAGGATGAGTTATATATTTAAACGAAAATGTGCTGAAGGTCTTTAGCAATAATGCACAAAATATAAATGCGGTATATATTAAAGACACTTCTATGTATATTTTTATGTAGAAAAGTTGGTACACCAGGGAAAAATCACTACAACCTTTTAATAAAATGTAAATTACATTAAAATTATTTCATAATACACAACAAATATTAAATAAATATTTTCTCAAAAAACAAACTGAGGAATGTGTGTTTTATTGTAGACTGACGTTTATGACAGAAGACTGTTTGGCCTGAGTGTGCAGCGCAAGAACATATCAGGACTACAGCAGCGTGTCAACATCACCATAAACCTAACCAAGGAAATAAATGTACTTAATGTTGTCATTTACTGCAGATGTGCCTTTTACAATATTATATTATTAAATATATTTTATCTTTTGTTTAGCAAAAGTTAATAAAAAAAAAGTTAGGCATATATAGTATTTAAACATGCAATATTTCTGTGTCACAGGACACCCAAAAACCCTCGTGTCAGTTCTTTAACTTCTCAACAAACAGTGAGTAACCAAGCATCACATCTGCCAAGAATAATGTAAAACATTAATATTTTTTTAAATAAACTTCAGTCATTGTTGTTTGTGGTTTGTCTTAAGATCACAAAGCTGATCTGATCTGACTTGGATATAAAAACATCTTATGTATAACTGATCTCTATTTTTGATGTATCAGCTTTTAGTGAGGATGGATGCATTACTCTATGGACTCATGGTCAGAATAATGTCACCTGTTCCTGTGACCATCTCACATATTTTGCTGTGCTCCTGGTAGGACGGACAATTTTTCATTCTAAAAAAGTGGAATTTCAGGACTTACATGTCTTTAGACTTGAGGGAAACTCGATCAACAAAATATAGACAAACACCTCAGTAATAAAATGGGAAATCTCTTTTAGCAGGTGTGTTGCTAACAATCCAACAAGTTCATGCTGAGTTGGACACAGTTTAGCTATCTGGTTCTGATGCTTTGGTAAAAAGTTGTTGTGTGTAATAGCCAACTTCAGCCTTAACTCACATAGTCAAACTTTCTATTGTAATTCCTTTAAGCAGTTGTCAAATTTTTGAAGAATAACTTCTGGAAGGACATTCAAAGCTCTTTTTTGGATGTTGTCTGCCTCTTGCTCCACTCTCTGTCAGGATGATTGGATAATAATGCTTCAATAATGTTGTGTTTTTTTCTTCTCTTCTACTCTTTAACTGTAGTAATAGTATCTTTGGAATCATTTTAATGCTGAAACTGTCAACACATAGTATTGCATGGACAAACAAAATCTGACAGTACCTTTACTGTGTTCATAATTACATCAACTTTGATAAGATTTTCAACACCACTGTGTAAACATGACAGAGCCCCCGCTGTGTTCTACAGACAGCTGCAGACACTCACTGTTGTATCTCTCTCCTGACCTCCTCCATATAAAAAAATGTGAACCAAAAAATGTCATTCCTCCATCAGGCATGTTACCAGTGATTTTCAATGCAGTTCATATGTAATTTAATGTGCATCAGCCTTTTCTGAAGAATTAGAAGCTAAATATAAAGACATGAGGTGTGACTCAAGACTTTCATAGCACTGACTTTACAGTATGTTTAATATATGTTAAAACAAAAAAGATTCATTTATACTGTACAACGTACAACACTCATCTCTTGCCAAAATGTTTCCTCAACTATAGTGTGTTATTAAGAATGTCACTGCACTGGGTGTGCCCTGCCGACGTCGTGTGATTCCTGATACTATCACTAGATGCCCCAAAGTGAACAAAAGTAATCTTTTTCTGTTACAAATGCTCCCTTTACACCATGACTACAATCTTCATTCTTTTGTTAGTATCATCTGTTCTCACGCACAGTTCATTGGCTCATTGATTTGTCATTGATTATCTTATCTGTGACTTACTTTTCCTCATCTACATCTTTGTTTTACAACACCTAATTTACTGAAAACTTTCTGAAATAAAAACCGTGTTCAGGGTGTTGTGATTTTAATTTGATATAGCCAAAGACTTGAATGATGAAGAAAAGAAATACTAAAACTGGACAAACAAGACTGTATTTCCCCAATCACGTGTCTGTCTCCTGCTTATTTTATTGTATAGAACTGTACTCTTGCATACACCTCCTCTATTCCTGTTGCTTATTTTGTATTGACTTTACTGCTTCACTGTTTGCGTGTCTTATGTTTAATTTCTACTCACTGACTACTTCTCACAATCAAAATGCTGCAAAATAAAGTGAGTGTGTATTTTCTGCACAGCTGCCTGTTTCTGGCTCTGATACAAATGGCACTGGGTCCCTCTCACCTAAAGACCAGGAGATTTTAACATACATCACTCTGATTGGCTGCAGTCTCTCTCTTTTTGCCCTGGTCATCACTGTTTTGCTCTTCATCACAAATAGGTAATTCATTTAATGACATTCTTCATCCTTTCTGTCTCTGCTTTTCTTATTAGACTCCTCCTATCCCATTGACTATTCAGCATGTACTATCGCCTTCCAGTCCTGACTTTTTTAACACCACAGTCAATTAATAACCTTTTTGTCTTTTTTCTTTGTTTTAATCTTTGTTCCTTATCACATCATACATGTAGATTTGGTCTAATTGTATTCCAAACAGAATAATACTAAAAAAGATGTGACTTACCATGAATCACATCTGTATTTGCCAGAAAGGTCAGAGAAGATGTTTCTATGAAGGTCCACATCAACCTCGTGATTGCCCTGATCCTCCTCAACCTGCACTTCCTGCTAAGTTCCAGGGTGGCAGCAGTGTCCTCCACTGGGGTCTGTTTATACATGGCTCTTGCCCTTCACTACTCCCTGCTGACTACTTTCAGCTGGATGGCTTTGGAGGGATTTCATCTCTACCTTCTCTTAGTCAAAGTCTTCAACATCTACATCAAGAGATACCTGCTCAAACTCAGTGTGGTGGGATGGGGTGAGTGGAATAATTTAAGGAAGAAGCTATTTATCATCGTCATCATCATCATCATCTAAATAACAGTTCTTGTTTTTCAGGTGTTCCTGCAGTCATTGTGTCAGTGGTGGTGATCATAGACAGAGGCTTTTACAGTCCTGTCTCTCTGGACGCATCTAAATCCAACAACACTGATATGTAAGGAAAATATCTGCAAGCATCTAAAATTGAATAAAGAAAATTTAAAATAACAATTCATATTTATTTATTAACTGTTGGTGTACGCATCAGAGTGTAGAGGGGAAAGTGTCATACAAGGGATAGGAATCAAACTCAATTTTACCAAACACTTATTTGCCTATATGGAGAAGTCTCTGGTATATTTCACCACATGCATCTAAATTATCCGCTATACCCACCCCCAAAAAAGTAAATTCTGTTCATCTGGATGTAATGTTTTCAGTAGGAGAAACGTTTCATCACTCATTCAAATGATGGGAAAGGCTGGGGAAACCTGCAGTCAGCTGAGACTGAAGAAGTCACTTGGATGAGTGACGAAAAGTTTCTTGCAATGAAAACACCACGTCCATATGAACAGAATCAAGCTTTTGGGGCGATTTCCCATCCTGGATGATTGGGCATGCATCAATACGCCTGCAATAAGATTTCTATTACAGAAAGTACTTCTTAACTGAAACATGGGTCATCTGAACTCCCTTTCTTTTAGATGCTATATAACCAATGACAAGGTCAAGATGGGGACTACACTGGGACCATTCATCTTGGTGTTCCTCTTTAACATGATCATGTTTGCGGTGACAATCAGACGAGTTTGGACTCTACGCAAAACCACAGAGGTACTGGGCAGTTTTGTGTTGCTATTGTCAACATGTCCTATGAAAGCTTAAAAATAACAATAATGAATTAGTCTTATAAACAACTGGTAGTTTTATATAACAAGAAAAATAAAGGCTAACTCTAGTCATCACTATTGTTAATTTTTATTTTACATTAGTCGTTCCTTTTAAAGGATGAACTGTGGGATGGGTTGTCTGTTAGCTTTTAAGACCAAGTAAATTCTCAGAAAAAAATAAAGGAACACTTTTTATTCAGAGTGTAGCATTAAGCCAACTTGATGAAGTAAACTTCTGGGATACTGATCTGGTCAGTTAAGTAGCAGAGGGAGTGTTAATCAGCCTCAGCTGATTTGACGTTAATGAAATAAACAGCGAGAGCTATGGAGGCCATTAGATATCAGGATATCCTTGATCCATTGTCAGACCCTAAATTGGATCAGTGGTTTCTTGGTTCCTCCTGGTGCATGACAATTCAAAGACTCATTTGGCAGCTCCTGAAGGAAGAAAGACCTGATACCATTAACTGTCCCCACACCTATCTGATCTAAATTCAATAGAACACCTCCGGGACATTATGTTTTGGTCCATCCGATGGTGCCAGATTACAGCTTAACTGTTCAGAAGCTCAGCGATGCACTGGTCCAGATCTGTGAGGAGATCCTTAAAGACACCATCCAACATCTCATTTTTTTGCAATGAGATCTGTTGTGTTTTTAAAGTGTCCCTTTAAATCTTTTCAGCACTGTATTGTGTTTTGTAGTCATTTATCTAAAAACAAACAAACAAACAAAAACATACTTTAGTATTGACTATTTAAACACATTTGTCTTACTGTGTGAGATGGTATATAATCTCCTGTGTCATTCTATATTTGGCAAATCAGTTTGGGCAGAGTAACCGTGACAGAGCCAAGAAAGACATTTGTACCCTGCTGGGAGTCATGACTCTGCTCGGCATTACCTGGGGCCTGGTCTTCTTCTCTTTTGGATACCTGACCACTCCTGGCATCTACCTCTTCTGCATCCTGAACTCACTGCAAGGTCTGTATAACCATTTGTATGTTAAGGCAAGGCAAGTTTATTTGTATAGCACAATTCAACAACAAGGTGATTCAAAGTGCTTTACAGAGACATTAAAAAACAAAAACAAATATAAAGCACGATTTAAAATTGAAAAAAAAAGGAAGTAACAGTAGATAAAATCAGTAGTTAAAATGTAAGTTTTGAAATTTAAGCTTAAAAGTAAAACAGTGTGGATTTGGTGCTTTATTCAAATGCAGCTGAGAACAGGTGAGTCTTCAACCTGGATTTAAATAAACTGAGTGTTTCAGCTGATCTGAGGCTTTCTGGGAGTTTGTTCCAGATATAAGGAGCATAAAAGCTGAATGCAGCTTCTCCCTGTCTGGTTCTGACAAAAAAACGGATCCAGATGACCTGAGGGATCTGGAAGGATCATACTGGGTCAGGAGGTCACTGATGTATTTTGGTCCTAAACCATTCAGAGCTTTATAG